AAACTTCAGTGTATCACCACATCACCAGAGGTGATCCCAGCATCACCAGCAAAGATGAGCTGCCACCACGAATGAGCCTCCAGCCTGACACGATGCAGTGAAGGTGCCCCCCCACCCCGGGGTCTATAGCTCTGTGGGACAGACCCAGCTCAGCCACCTGCACAGGTAGGGCCTGGCCATGGCAGGCTTGTATTATTTTACACCAAGTCCCAGCTTGGAAACAGGCTGCCAGAGCACAGTACCTGCCACCACTCGATCAGAGTCCAGACGCGGGTGCTCCCGCCTTCCCTTCACACCCTTGGGTCAAGCGCTGCTCCTGGGCGCTCCAGCAGTCCAATCAAGGAAAGACTAGTGGGTCCCACCTCTGTGGTGATGCACAATTAGGAAGAAACCCTTGTTACTGCTCCCTAGACCCTGGGTTCACTACACCATGAAGCCAGAACGCCTGGCCCTTCCTCGTAGAAGTGTGTTAATTACAAATTCTATCTCATGAGTTGTTAGGGACTTGTCAAGTTTTCTGTTTCTTCCTAGTACCTTGTGTCTTTCAAAAAGCACATCCAATGTGGGCATGCAGCTATCAGCATGTCTCCTTACAGTCTGTGCCAGGACCCACAAGAGTTCCCTGACTGCCCACCCTGCTCCTCCCAACCAGAATTGGGCAGGACAGCAAAGACCTGTCTGGTCATCATGAAGGACTAATTCCCTTTATAAGTTCTCAACACACACTGCCGTCCAAGAACAGAAATGTCTTCAACTCCACTTTCTTTGACTTTCAGAATAAATTAAGTATAATGATGGACAGCCTCACCCAAGGATGCTTTTGAACAAGACCTGCCCCCATTCCCCGTTACTCTTCTGCTCCAAGACAGGTAGCCAAGTAGCTCCCAGATGCCCCACGGAGCATGCCCCTCATATGCCAGCCCCGATTCCACAGAGATGCTGTACATGCCACACTCAGCCTGTCGTGGTAGCACTGGCACCCTTGCCATCCAGCATCTTAGGGTGTCCCTGGCCCACCTCTGTTCTGGGTCATTCCTACCCTCTAGGTATGCGGTTCTCTCCTAAGCAGCAGTCCCATTAAAAGAAGAAAGCAGTGCCCTTCAAAGTGGCCTGTCGAGGGCGTTTCCACTGGGCCATTCTCCTGAACCCAGCCCCTTCTCTAGGTCCCATGTCAACAAGCTTGTCACCTGCCCCCATGAGGACTTAGTCCCTCCTTCCTGCCCGGAAGCTGGCCCAGCCTGTCAGGTGGCTAGTTCAGCCTTCTCTGATGGGCTGCCCTGCCTTCAAACCTCAATTTCCCCATCTGTAATAAAGACCCTTCAAACAGGGTGGCATGCCACGCGAGTGGCTCTCGTGATGCTGCCAATCTGAAGCACCACATGGGGGAGCAGCTACTGACTTTGAGCAAACAATAGAGGAGATATATCTGAAGGACCCCAAAATATCCCCTGAGAAGAACATTTATCCAAGGACCCATCCATTCCTTGGGCATCTGAGCCTCAACAGGTGCCACCACAGAGGAAGCCATTGGCAAGCTGGGCCCCAGGGCCATGGGCACAGGGGCCACAGGCTGCAGCTTCGCTTCCACCAGGATGAACTGTCCCACCCCAGGGTCCCAGGACCAGCACGTCAGGGATGATGGCCACACACCTGCAAAGCAAAACACCCAGGTGGCTGCCAGGGCTGGATCTAAGACTCAGTGCCCAGCAAAAGGGCACCCCTCTTTTCTCCCAGCATTTCCTGTGGATACTGCAATGACTGGAGTGAAGGCCAAAAGCCCTGGCGGTGGCCCAGAAGGGCTGTGGGACTGAGCAAGGCATCCCTGGACAACCTCGCCTCCTCCTGTCGTGCTGAATTCCTCGGAGGACTGTTGGGGTGACACCTAGAAAGGCTGAGCAAGGACAAGAGCAACCTGTCCAGGGCTCTGAGGGGGACCCGGGCTGCACAGTCAGCAGAGCTGCATTTGTTCAGTGAGAATGGGGCAGCTGGGGTGGCAGCTGGGGCAGCCCGAGGCAGGTGAGCCTGGGGCTGCTGCCCATTGCCCCTGAAACCCAGCACCATTGGCAGAGTCCCAGCTGACCACCAAGGACCAGAGCATGCCACCTGATTCATGGTAGAGCTGGGAAGACCCGTGAGGGGGGCTCTGTCAAGGACATGGACATGGCAAACGCTGGAAGAGCTGGAAGACGGCCAACGCTGCAGCAGCTTTGGGGTGAAAAATGGTTGGGAGGAGCCTTGGATCAACTAGAAAATCAAAAGGGAGGCCAAGAACAGGACTAGCATGTGGCTCTGACAGCACGTCAGAGGTGGCCAAAGGCTGGGTGGGGACAAGAGACAGCAATGGGCAGGAAGGGTCTTTTCAAAGGTGATAAAGGTGTTCCTATATTCTGGTGATGGCTGCAAATCCTATGAATTTGTTAAAAATAACTGAATTGTGTTTTTAAAAAAATTCAAGGATGCCTATGACAAAAGTCAAGAGAAACAAAAAGACAATTACTGTTAATATACAAAATGATACAAAATGCAACTGGCCCCCAGCCCATGGTAGCCACTCCCAGGGCTTTCTATCGCCATGATGTGCCTCTCCTGGGTTTCGTGGAATTCTAATACAACACCTGGTTTTGTGTCTAGCTTCTCGCTGAGCACACAGCTCAAGGGTCGTGAATGTCATTCCTTTATGTGTGGATGGACCACACCGTTGACCCACTCCCTGGATGGGGCATGTGGTTGCACACTCTGTTTGGCTGTGGGAAAGGTGCTGCTGCGGACACTCATGTGCAAGACCTTGGGCAGGAGGAGGGCCTTCCTGGCACCGCATTTGAAGATGGGACAGGTCAGGAACCAGTGTATTCTTACAGAGTACCTGGAACATGGAAAGGAGCAAAAGAGGGGACGAAGTGTGCCTTGCTGGCTGAGTGTCCACCCAGATGACATAGGGTCGGTGCTCCTCGGGGTGCCAGGGAAGGAAGCCACACCCTCACTTACTGCCCTTCTGCTTATTTCCTGTATGCAGTGTCCTTTTACCCCCTCAAATGGTGTTCCCAAAGAACAATCTTTGCTTACCCTGATCCTGCACTTAGCTTCGAGGGCTCCTGTGTGGTGGGCCCTAAGAGTAAAGGGCCACAAACACACGGTCCAGGGGCCCTGTCATCCTGAATTCCTAACTCCCAGTCAGAGCAACTGTTCAAGCCAGCGCCCCCACTGCTAACAGCCCCAGGCATGAACACAGGTGCCAAGCCACACAGTTCATTCAGCCCAGTTACGCATCATGGGCCAGGTGAGGACAGTGCACTGGGCCAGCGGTGTTCAGTCTTCCAGGAGCTCAGAGCCCTCCCACAGGCCAAGTGTCCCTGAGGAAAAGCCCATCTGCTCTGCCAGGCCTCGGTGAGGCCCCAGGGCCTAAGCTCCTGGAACTGGGAGACAGGATGCCCTTTCTAGGGAAACCCACACTTCACAGAAGTCTATGGACAACAAACACTGGGGCAAAGCTGGCCGTGCCTCCACAGGGGTGGCCACTACCTGGGGCGGGGCCTGTCCCCACAGGGCTCCTGCCCAGGCCTGTTCATTGGTCCCCGGCAGTGGTGACACCAAGCACTGCCCGTGACAGGCCAAAGGATGGGTTCCTGGAGGGGATGACAGCATAGATTTCATCCCTTCAGCCAGGGACAGGGTATGCCATCCAGAGGACAAGCAGCAGGCTTCAGGACAGGAGTTTGTTCCCTTCTTTACAGAGGGGAAACCAAGGCCAGGAAGGTGTGGGGGGCTGGTTTACCAAAGGGCATTGGCAAGTGGGTGACCAGGCCAGACCCCAGGGCTCCCCACCCCACTTCCATGCCCTGCTAAGTCCACTGTGGGGACGCCCAGGCACCAGCAGGGTAAGGAGACCCATGGGAGGAATGACTGGCCCCTGACTCCCAGCACTTCCTGTTTCTAGAGACCCCACCCACCTTCATTTAGGGATCCTCACAGCAGTCCCACATTCCTGAGTGCCCTTCATGATGGGTGGGGCAGAGGCCCATTCCCCAAGGATCACTTACTCGGGGGCCAGGCACACAGGGCTGGGAGTCAGGGACCATTCTGCAGGCTGGGGTAGAATGTGGGTTTGTGGAACTATTGAAAGCCACCAAGAAAGCTAGAGCAGCGGCCACACAAACAGACGTAGGGTCACATGCGAAACACCAGTGGTCACTCTCAGCTGAAGCTGGGAGCTTGGTGGCTCTTGGTGGGTCTGCACCCCACCTGTGCTCGGGGCCAGGTACCTACCAGAGGCTGACATGCACTGTGACCCATTGGACAAGCTGCCTTCGCCTCAGGGCTGACACACAGCAGGTGGGCAGTAGGTGCCAGAGGGCCTGGCGACAGCCCTGAAGGGCAGACAACCCCTGCGGGGACAGCAGGAGAACCACTGCAGAGGTCCCCCTCACAACATTCCAAACGCTAGGGCTCCACGGCACCACATCTGCATTCCTGGAAAAGACCCTTTGGTCCCTGGGGCAGCCAGTACTCATCACCCTCAGGACTGATAGCCAGGGACTACTCTGGCCACCCAGCGGCCTGGACCAAGGGTCCAGACAGGTTTCCTGTCAAATTCAGGGGGCTGAGGGAAGTGAGGGGCAGTGCCACAGTGAGCACGCCAGGAGAGCTCGGGGCTCTGGGGCAGCACTGTCCTCTTGCAGATCCTGCAGGTTTCCTATGATGTGGCCAGTGACCCCCGACAAGCTGGGTGCAGCCTAAATAGTCCGTGAGGGTCCCCTAACATGGAACGACCTTCAAAGAGGGGTAGGAGCTGGGTGCGGTAATCCCAGTGGCTTGGGAGGCTGAGCAGGAGTTCAGAGTCAGCCTCAGCAATTTAGTGAGGCCCCCAGCAACTTGGTGAGACCTGTCTAAATAAAATACAAAAGGGGCGGGGCTGAGGATGTGGCTCTGCGGTTAAGTGCCCCGGTTAAGTGCCCAGGGTTCAATCTCTGATACAAAAACAAAAGGGGGGAGGGGCAGGAACGCCAAGGGGGAAGGACAGGAAGACTATGTGTACCTTAAATTCCCAACAGGGCCGCCTGAGGAAAAGCCAGAGGAGGAAGCTGGCTCTCCAAAGCCATGCCCAAGCTCTTCACCTCTGTCTGACCAGGCCTCTCTCCCTTCAGATGTGGGGCCTCTGCCCAGGATTCCTCTCTGTCAGCTCCACAGCCTCCTCAGCAAGGCCAGGCGGAGAGGGCGCTGGGGAACACCCCGTGACGTGCTTTCTGGCGCGTGTCCTGGCACAGCCCACTTCCATGCGGCCCCTGAGTGAAGTTTTGGGTGCCAGTGGCCCCCCAACTCTGCAGTTAGGTCTTGGGTCACCTGGCATCCAGAATGGAGCATCCACTGTCCCAGGTCACCCGGTTGTCAGTGCAGATGGCGGAGACCCCGATCTGGGTGGGGCTGAGGCTGGCCTGCAGCGCTGGCCGAGGGAAGCTCTGCTGGCTCCGGGCTCTGAGACTTTCTCCATCTGGGTGGGGTTTTAGCTCCTATTTAAAGTTATGAACGTTGCTACTCTTTGGGAGGGAGTGTCCCTGAAGGGCCAGCGTGTCTAGAGGAAGGCCCTGGAAGCTCTGAACAGCACAGTGCAACGTCACTTCTCCTGTCTCCACACTGAGCTGCGTCTGACATAGGTTGGTTTGAATTTTTTCTGGGTCACACGGCCAAACCATACGCTGCTTAAAATACAGTGTGTGGTTTTGGTGACTCGCAGCCAATTCCTCTTTTCCTAAGAAGCTGTGGGTTTCTGTGCCTGACTGTTCTCAGTGAGCACAGAGCAACTGAAGGGAGAGCAAGACGGAGGGAGCCTCGCTCCTGAGGAGCTCCGGTTCACATCCCCGAGGGGCGCCAGGAGCCTCGACCCAGGTGAGCACTCTGTTCATTTCTCTGGGAAGCACAACGCCGCCCACCAGCACCTGCCTCTGACTTACCCAGAAGGTCATCGAGGCTGGCTGGGGGCCAGAGCCAGTTCACAGCGATGGGAAGTTTCTTTCTAAAAACCGAAGTGTCTTTATGCTACAGGTTGATTCCGTTATAAAAAGAGAACACGACCATTTTCCTAGCCTTTGGCACTAGGAATGACTGAGCAGGCTGCCCACTTCTTTATTAAGAAAAAGGCAAGACTGACTCTAGTCGCCTCCTGAAAACGGAGGTGGGGAAAGGTTCACGGAGGGTCAGAAAGGGTTGATGAAGCTGCCAGATAATTACTACTGCTGGGTTTTCAGTGTCGCACAAAAACCTGGGAAGGGGCTGAACTGATGAAATTCAAAGTTGACAGGAGGCACATCTGGATCAAGTTTTCGTGGCACATGAAATCTGAAAATGGAGCATTCTTTTGGCTGTGGCACAGTGGGGGCAGGAGCCGAGCTGTCCATTTTTCCACCCAGAGGCAGGTGGCACACAGAGCTTGGGAGGGAACCCCAGGGAGCCAGCAGGCAGGGTTCAGCAGCCCTGCGGCGGGCTTGGTGCTCAGACAGGGGTTCAGTGTGAGGCTCCTGCATACGTGCCTGCCCCCAGGGCTCAGTGCAGGTTCATCTCACTTCATAAGAGCTCCACAAGGGTGCTCTGGTGACACTTTATAATGCATTCCTGGGCTTGTCAACTGGCTGGGACCATTGCCGTGGCATTCAAACCCACTGGTCACCCCTGAGGCAACAAGCAATGGCACTGCTGGCTTTCTGGGACCCCGTCAGCATCTGCTCTTTGAAAGGTAGCTGATGGGAAGGAGAGCCTCGGGCACTTCCGGGTAGGGTGCTGGGCTGGAGGGTGCTGGGCTGAGTGCACACTCACGCAGCTGCCCCTCCGGGGTCCCTCTGCTGGGGCTTACCTACAGGCTCTGGCTGGCCAGGTGCCTCCAGGTGCTCCCATCCCTGGCTCAGGCAGGCTCCACTGAGGCCTGCTGAGTGAACGGCCGGTCAGAGGAAGCCGGCAGATTTGCGGAGGAAGACCTGAGCAGCAAGGGGCAGGCTGCTGGGAGGGGTCCACAAATGGCCCTGTGAAAGCACTCTCAGGACACAGGAGCTCGCACGAAGGGAAGGCTGCCCAGGCTCTTGTGAACACCCTCATGCCCTGTAATCCAGGCCAGGCTCCTGGGATGCCCTCCCTTGGAGTTCCTGTTAGGACACGAGGACCTGCAGACGCCATGCTGTGCAGCAAGAGAAGGAAAGGGTCAGGGCAGCCGGGTCCTCAGGGCTGGATCAAGGTGCTCCGCTCAGCAGCGGGGCAGGATCCCACAAAGCCAACATGGGCCAGGGTCACAGAGGCCACCGGGAAGCCAACACAGGCCATAATACCAAACACCTTCTCTCTGGCTAAAAGAGTGGCCCTCCTTCTTCACCAGTTACAGCCCTGCCCGCACTCCAGCCTGCCACCACACAGGCTGACTCCTACCCAAACCCTGAGCCCCACATAGGTTCTAACACTGCAAGCGGGCAGCTTAAGCTATCTGACCTCAGGGTTCCTGGTGGCCTTGCACACATACATCCACGATGACAGAAATGACATCAGCTCCAGCTTGCAGGGTCTGAGTAAATACAAGCCCGGGAGCTCACATGCCTGCCCCCAGCCCACTTTTGGGGAGGAGTCGCGGCACACAGCATACGGCACAGATGGTGCCCACGGGTCTTCAAAGGGGCACAAGTGTTGCCTCTAGACCCAATTCTCCACCCTTTCCTGCTTGCTTATCTGTCTAATCTGTACCCCGGATGGTCAGGGTATAGGAATGCTTCTCGTGGAGGAAGGGTGTTTGGAAAAATAGGACTTGAATAAAGCAAAGAGCTCCCTGTAGCCTCATTCTTGAACATCCCCGTGCCGAGGAGGGATGTGTGTTAGGATTTCTTGAAGGAGGGGACTCAGGTGTCCAACAATGTGGTCTGTCCATGGTAATGCTGGGCCACACCCTGCAGGAGCACTGTGTGCCCTCAGGTCCTCTGTCCAGGAGATGGATAGATCAGCCAGGGCACTGATGACAGTCTGGATGCTCCATGGCACACAGGACCAGTTCCAAATCTCCTAGAAGCATGTGAGCACACATGTGTAGGAGTCTGCATGTTGGTGTATGCTGTGTGTTTCGTGTGTGTGCATGTGTCTATGTGTGAGACACAGAAGGCACATATGTTTTCTTTGGAAGAGTCAAGAAAAGGAAAATGGAAACCTCTTTTATCCCTATCCTTCAATGAGGTCATTTTTCCCAATACCTAAAATAGAGGCTCAAATAGTTCCTGGAACTGCACAGCCACAGGACCATGAGGGTGGAGGAGGCAGGACAGAGGGGAGCCGTCCGAGTTTCCTTCACCACTTGTCCAGACCTGTGGGCTGGGGATTAAGAACTGGCAGCCTTCAGCTGACCCCCCACAGGCCCCTAGATATTAGCTCAAGACCCTCTCTGAGACTGCACCTCTATTCAAAGCCCGCCAGAGGCTGGTTGTGCAGGACCTCAGGCCACGTATGCAACAGACACAGTGAGTCATCAGGGGTCAGTCCCAGGCTGGAGGACCAGAGACTGGAATGTTTGGACCAGAAGGCGCTAATATAGCCAAGCCCTGTGGAGGGAGGAGGTGCCGCAGGAGGAGGCTCGTGGGGCCCGCAGAGCGCAGGAGCCGAGTTTCACAAGAGGGGCCTCTCTGCAAAGGCAGTTCAAGCTTTTTCTGTGCTCTATCTCGGAACCTGGCCCCTGACCCACCTTCCACCATTCCAATAACAGAGACACACTTTCACAGGCCCTCAGTATCCTCAGCTGGTAGGAGGAAAAACAAGAAAACTACAATTCCCAAAAGATTTAAATCTGAGACCAATGGGACCATAGAGACAGACCTCATATGGCCCTGCATCCCGGCCAGGCAACACCAAGGCCACTTTATTGTGTGCTGCCTGTATACAGGGCCCACGAACCACACAGGAGACTGCTGACCTCACTGGCTAATGCTCTTTTTGCACAGAAAAACAACCTGTGAGCCTTTCCCAGCGATTTGTAAAAGCAAGTACAGGCTGGAATGGATCTGTAAGAGCAAAAGTTCAGAGACAGCTTAATGTCCACAGAGCATAGTAATTAATTGTCACAGCACAATTACAATTAGCCATTAATAATGACAATATAAACTAGAAAGCATGAAAACACTCAATAAACTGTGTGGAGATGGAACTGGCAGAACTCAACAATAGATGTGAACTCTGCCACCTACAACAGATGCCATGGAGAGGCACGAGAAAACACAGTACCTGAGGCAGGCAAGGGACACCCTGATGTCCCCTCGAGGAGCACATGCGTAGAAGGATAGAGTACCCTGCTTCCCTGCACGGGCCCTTTAGGAAACTCTAGTGCCCATTCCTGGGATGGGGGTGGCCTCACCTCCTACTTTCCAACCCTGGGGTGTACATGCTCACCTCCAGAAACCACCCTGACGGCTGTGCAAGGAGCACGGCAGCCAAGCGCTGCTGGGAGCACGGCACGCCCACGGAACAGGCTGGGAGTGCGAGCAGCTCCCCAGGGACCCGGGGATGCCAAAGCCCTTCTGTAGGGGTGAGGGAGGGTTCCAGAGCCCCTGATTCTTGGCCTGAGAATTGATGCTGTGGAGTGCAGGTCCCCCTTCTAGGGAATTTTGGGGCTCAATTAAAAACCTTTGCTTTTACTCAAGTTAAAAGTATAGATTCCAGCAGGAATGTGGGGAGGTGCAGCCACCTCGGGAGATGGCACAGCCACCTCGGGAGACCCTGTAACTTCACACTGACCTGAGGATGCAGCAACGCTGCTCTTAGAGGTGGGCCCCAGAAGAAAGCAAGCACATGCTCTCTTAAGAACCTATTTGTGGGGCTGGGGCTGGGACTTAGGGGTAGAGTGCTTGCCTAACACGTGCGAGACGCTTGTTTGATCCTCAGCACCACATAAAAATAAATAAATAAAATAAAGTTTTTTTTTTAAAAAGAACCTATTTGTGCACTTTTAACACAGCTTTATGACAGCCACTGGTGACCCAGTCTAATTCTATTGAGGCTGCATAGCCACAGAAAGGAGTGACCACTGGCGCCCAACATCATGGAGGCCTCTCATATGCATCACACGAGGGAGAGGGCTGGGCCTGAAGGTGCCACACGATGCCATCATGTGTCAGTCTGGAAGGTGGAGGGACTCCAGCTGCACCTACCTTCTGTGGAAACTGAGGTCTAAGTGACAGCAGTCATGAAGCGCGTCTGGCATGTGCTGGGAGGGTGGGGGCAGCTGGGCCTGCACTCCGGGAGTCTGAGCTGGCCGGGTGTGCAGGCACAGCCCCACTATCTCTTGCCCTCTCCCCATCTTGCTTGTCCCTTTTGGTGGGGGCGGGAAGGTGAGGGTGGAGCAAGGGGAGCGAGACTGCCGAGGCCAATGAGCAGCCCAGGATACAATGAAGCCAGGAGGTTGTATGGCAAGGATGGAATTGTGGATGCTTCAGGAAAAATGCCCCCATGTTTCTGTTTTACTGTCTTCACTCAAAAAAGGAAAAGTCAAGGAGCGAGGTGGCCCCGCTGGGCAGACATGGGAGTCACCACATCTGGCAGGGCGTGCCTCAGGCTGTCCGGGGGAGCTCAGCCCTGCCACCTTGGCGTACATGGTCCAGGGCCACCAGGATCCAAGGGAGTAAGCACCCAGGCAGGATACAGGGAGGAAGGCATGGTGCTCACAGAACTGGGGACAGAGTTGAAGAAACCTGGTACTCCTCACCAGTCAGGCCTCAGCAGGACTGGACCCAGCGGAGCTTCAGCTATCACTGGGAGGACCCCATGCTACAGGGCCCGGGAAGGAGGATGGAGGTGGGCCCGCCTGGGTCTCCACGGCATGTGCACAAGCAAATTCCACCGTGTCCTCAAGGAACTCTAAGCAAAAGCACGAGAGCCAACACTGGTGGAAACACCACCGGAGCAGGACTTGGCAAACCCAGCTGTCAGCACCAGGCACTACCCCCAGAGGGCTCTCAAGTGGCCTTTCTTTCCTTCTATGTCCCAGCCCTGGAAGTGGGTGCTCCGGTGCCCGCTGCACAGCCAAGACAGAGTCCCATGCATCAAGCAAGGTGACCCTCCACAATAAGCTGCAGTGAAGACAGAACACGGAGGTCCCACACGGGGAAGGCAGGAAGATACCGCAGCAGCGGCTCTCAGCCGCCTGAGCAAGCTCGCCCTGGGGAGAAGCTCATGTATGGCAAGAAGCTGCCTGAGGCCCCTCCTAGGGGGCCAGAGCACCCTCCAGGAGGCTCAGGGCCAATGCAGACACTACCCTTCCCTTGTTCATCAGGCTGGGAACCGGGGCCTGGACAAATCAGAGCAGAGCTGACTGCCATGAACCAGGATGGCACGTGGCAGTGACATCCACAGGCCACAACGCCGCCCACATGGCACTGTCCACAAGGCACTGATCAGATGCAGAGGTTGGACGTCTGGACTGCAAATCTGTCTCCTGGCCTGCGGTCAGTGTGCGGAAGCCTTCTTGCCATTTTGCCTGTTGAGATGATCATTGCAAATAGCTTCCTCCCAGTCTGGTCGTGAGTCTTAATTTGCACACCACTTGGGTCCTTAAGCACTGGCAGATGGAAAATATCACAGTCCACTGCCAGCTTTCCATTTGAAGAGCCACACATACACCCAGGGAATGGTGAGCCATGTGGCCCCTGCAGGCCCGTGGGATGAAAGCTGGCCAATGGGGGTGCCACCAGGGCGCCCAAACACTGCAGCACATAGAAGTCAAGCCCACACTGTGCAGAGGAGCAGGGGTACTCCTCTGGCTCGTGGGCTGTCCCCACCCCAGCCTAAAATGAACAAGGTAGCTGAGGCGGGAGAGTGTCCGGCAGACAGAGGCAGGTCCGGCCCAGGAGCTCAGACCTGCAAGGCCCATCAACAGAGCAAGGGGCCTTTCCCTGGGCTCCAGTTCTGGTTATGATGGGCTTTGCTACATAATGAAAGTCAGTTCAAAAAGAAAAAAGACTCTTGTGCACAGCCAGAGTAGATGGCCACACAGGGCCCAGCCAGTCCCTCTGTGCTCCCCAGCACTCGGGAGCCCCCAGGCATCTCACAGAAGCCCAAACAGATATGCTCCAGAGCAAGTCACTCTGATTTGCAAATTATTTCTAAATATAAGTGTTCAAGTATGACACCCAATGCTCCTGTTCAGAGATAATCAGAGATAGAAACTGAAAGATAAGTTTCAAAATACCTATAAGAAAGGAGTACTATAATGGAAACCGTTTTAAAAATGTCACATTTTTAAAAAATCACAAAAGAACCTCTTCTAATAAGAAACACAAAAATTAAAATTTAAAACTAGGAGGATGGTTTTAGTAGCCAATTAGCCACAGATAGAGAGAAATACCATGGCCTGAAAGACAGGCCTAAGGAAAGTCCTTGGTCAAAGTCCACCGCATTTGGTCCGAAAAGGGGAGAGGAAGGAAGAGGAGATATCTGAAGACATGACAAAGTCACTAGGCCACCAACATGAGAAGCCCAGTGAGTCCCTGGCAGGATAAACAGTCGTTCTACAATTCTGACCCCAGAGGAGCCATCAATTGTTTAGACTGGCAACTCTACAAGGCCGTGGAGGCAGAAGGCACTCAGCCTGGACAGAGCCGAGCTGCAGGAGGGACTGCAGAGCAGGGGCAGTGGGGTGGGCGGTCCTGACACTGACCAGGAAACAGGTGCACGGCGGGTTGAGAGGGGACTGGTTACAACTCAGGACACGGCACACTGTGGACCTCACACTGTCCCAGAGAGGGCAACACCGAGTACAGTCTGAGTTTGGTTCAAAGATCCTGACGGCTCCCATCCAGTCAACTGGACATTATACAGCTGCCAGACCCATGAGACAGACAAGTGTGTGTGTACAGAAGGGTATCAGTGACACTAGTGGGAAGCCAATGACAGATCTATGTATGCAAAGATCCTCTGACTTGAGAACAGAACGTGGACGCAGTGAACACCTCCACACACACAGCAAACTCTTCTGCTACTTGGCCATGGGGGAGAAAGAGGCTGTTCACATCCACTCAACCCGCGAGCCGTGTCTGTGCTGTGCTGCAATCTGGGCACCTGCTAGCCTGGGCCCACGGCAGGATATGCTTAGACACACAGGAACGCACCCGCTCAAGTGTGGTCGAGTCCACCCAGACAAGCCAACCGTCCTCAGAGAAAACAAACCTGGCTGGGTCACGCTGGCCCATTACACTTCCAATTTTATTGTTCTCAATTTCCTTTCAGTGAACAGCAATGCTATCTCCCAGCCTCATCTGCTATTTAGTTAAAATTTAAAAGGAGAGAGAAGACATATGTATGGAAACCAAATAATCTCAGTGACTAAAGATGGGCTCATGGAGGTTATTTAAAGCCCGAACACCAGGAATTTACAGCTTGCTGTAATAAAGCCACTCCTGGTGAAAGGGCAGAGGCTGGCAATCCCCAGGTAGACAGCATCCAAAACATGCCACCCCTTTGGTCCCCAGTGTGTGTGTTGAGTGGTAAGAGGCCCATAATGGGGGGTAGGAATTGGCTAGGATTTCTCTGGATTTCTCAGAATTTCTCAGGGGCCCAAAGCCAGACTCTTAAGTGCCAAGGCCTGTCCTGCCTCTGAGCAATGCACATTCTGGGCCGTTCCCTGGACATGCGGAGCCAGGACCAAATAAGCAGGAGCACTGGGCCACTCAAAATTGGCACTCCTCAAACTCTACTCCCCAGAAGCCACTGACTGAGCGCCCCTCTGGGGAGACAGCCACTTCTGCCAAGAGTCGGCTCACAGGGGCACATGCTGAGTCACTCATCCCAGGAGAATGCGACCACACTCAAAGAAGCCTTTTAGCCTACAAGTGATGAGGTTCTCTGGGCAGGGGCGAGGGTGGCAGAAGGAGTGCTCAGAAAGATGGGGGCGGGGTCCTCGCTCCCCACCTTCGCACCACAGCACTGGCCCTGGCTCTGTGGGCTCCATGAAGGACGCTTGCTAGAGCCCCCAATCCTGCACCCACTTACCCCAAACTCCTTCCTTCTGAGCAAGCTGGCCTCCCTGGCGGGCTGGAGGCAGGCGCTCTCTGGGAACGCTGTCCCCTCAGAAAGTGCTCACCCCTCACAGGCCAACCCCATGACTGTCCGGCATGTGCTTCTATTACAGGTCCAACAGCTGCGCCCAAAATGGACTCCCACAACATGTCCTGGATTCGGTACCCAAGCCATGTGTCCCCAGCCGTGGAAGATGTCATTGCTGCACAAAGTGTCATCTCCAGGTGCATGCATGTGTATGTTGCTCTGCTTATACCGCTGAGCTTGGTGACAGGGCTCTTCAACCTGATCACTTTCATTCGGAACCATGGAAAGCTGGTGGCCCTGGACATGCTGCTCTCAGGCCTCACGGTCACAAGTATCCTGGTGACACTGCTGTCACTCAATGCTGCCAGCAGGCCTGACTACATACTCACAACCAACCTGCTCTGTGGGGTCCTCTCCTTCTTCTCCAATATGTGCTATTTCAATGCCCAGTACCTGCAGGCGGCCATGCTTGTCCTGTTTCTATTGCCGGGTTTCTCGAGCTACCTGCTCACAGGGGCCCAGGGCACCTGGAGGCCTCTGGCAGGCCTGGCTGCCATTTGGGGCTGCGCTGTCTGCAGCTCTCTGGTTGTGGTATCCCTACTGGGTACATCCAGAGAGCTGCACCAAACCACCCTGTGCCAGGCGGACCCCCTGACGGCCTGGCCTGAGTATGAAATTGTTAAGTTCAGCCTGGGCTTTGGGCTCGCCCTCGTTCTCAAGCTGGTTCTCCTCCTCCTGCTCTCTGCTAAACCGGCCTGGCGGACAGCTCTCACCCGGAGGGACACCGCCTCTGCACGCTGGGTGGTACTGGCCATCACTCTGAACATGTTTGCCTGCCGACTCTTCTCCAGCACAGTGCTCCTCCAACGGGCCAGGCGGAAGATGCAGAGGGACATAGGATCCCCGCGGGATGAGCTGCTCATGAATCTGGCAGAACTGGTCCTGTCTGGGGAGAGCTGTGTGAACTCCCTGTTTACCCTCGTCTTCCACAAGCCCTGCAAGCTCATGCTGCTGGACGCCCTAGGGCGCCTCACACAGAGGTGCAGAAGAGGAGGCACCAACAACAGCGTCTCCTAGAACAGGACAGGGGCTGGGTCTGATCCTGCCTTCTGGCATGAGCCACAGGGAAAGCAGCAGGGCCTTCTTGATGTTTAAAATACCCGTTTGCTGAAACAGGCCCTCCTGGGAAGAGCCAGTGGGGATGACACAAGTGTTGTGAGAGTGCTTACTAAAAATGAGCATTCTGGCATTCAACTCTATCTATGCAGAGGCACCATGGTTTCTTGACCCGCGCCAACAATCACAACTCAAGGGACCCTGCACATCAAGGACACAGTGACGTGAGCGCGGAGATTGGCCACAGACGCATCTCCATCTGGCTGAAGTGCTCTGTGATGGGGACTAAGCAATGTTTGTCTACTGGTTGGCAAATTTTTTTTTAATCTTTATTTTTATTTTTTATGTGGTGCTGAGGATGGAACCCAGTGCCTCATGCATGCTAGGCGAGCACCCTACCACTGAGCCACAACCCCAGCTGGTTGGCATCTTTCTCTACCCCAACCAAAAGACAAAACGTGAATCTTAAAAATAAAAGTATTTTTCAAATAACTTTACAGTCATATTATGATCAGGTCTGAACCGTTGCTGTGGTCAGCTTTCAACACTGCCAGGAAGTCTGAGCAACAGAAAATCTTGCCAAGAACAAAAAAGGTTACTTTTAAAACTGCCATCACCGTGGAAGCTCTGGGAGTATCCCCTCAAGCTGAAACACCAGGACATCTGCTTTACATCATGATGTTGAGCTGTCCTGCTCCATGGAACCTAAGGGGACTGGCTGCCTAGGTCCAGCGGGTCTGGTAGGCCAGCGGAGAGCCCCAGGTTTCCAAGGCCCCACGGGTTCCACCTGCTGTCTGTACGGGGACTGGTAACCCACGAAATACAGAAACACAGATGTTTGTCTTACTTCAGGTTGACATCCTTCATTCTTACTGGAATTCTCTCTGGTTTTATGAAATCTATACCTTCTATTTTAATGAATAATTTAATGTTAGTCTGTGAACCAAAGAACGAAAGCAGGTCTGTGGTTTTTTTCTCAGTGTTTACATATCTGCATCATTTCTTTAGAAGAAAAAGGATTTGTATCTTATGCAGCTGAGTAGCTTCTGGGACACAATATTAAAATTTCTCAGTGCTTTAAGTCTTCCCGTCTATTTCTCCTCCTTTGTTCCCTTGTTTACACTCCTGATACCCTTAATGTGGCCTGGGTACCAGAGTGAGGTCAGCTTACAGCCTGTTCACGGGGGTTACAAGCAAAACTGGAAGCAGGAGGGAAGAGCATTCTTTCCCACTTGGGACGAAGAGGCAAGGAGAAAGGACCAGAGCTCAATGTACTCTTCCCATAGTCCACTCCCTCCCTCCCCCCAGTACTGGGGATGGAACTCAGGAGCAGTCTACCACTGAACCACATCCTCATTTTTTAGTTTGAGACAGGGTCTTACCAAGTTGCTGAGGCTGGCCTCCAACTTGTGATCCACCTGCCTCAGCCTCCCAAGTTACTAGGATTATAGGCATGTGCCACCATGCCTGGCTCTTTGTTTATTTCACGCTGGACACTGAGTTCTCCTTGTTGAATGTTTGAATCTTGTCTTTCTCTAAAGGGTACTGAAGTTTATTTTGGTACGCAGTTTATTACTGGCAGATGATCAGGATTCTTTTGAGAGTTATTTCCTAGTTTTGTCAATCAGGACCACAGGAGTCTTCAGTGCAAATTTAGCCTGAATGCTAAGGTGTGCCCTTCTTTGGGTCTCTACTGACTACGGTACACTGCTATGTTTAAGTGTGTCCCTGAGGATGCATGTGTTGGAGACTCAGTCCCCAATGTAGGATACTGGGGGGTGAGACCTTTGAGGGTTAGAAAGTTGTTACAGCCCCTTACTGGTCTCTCTGGCTTCCTGACTTGCCATGTGATCTCCCCTCCCTTGCACACATTCCCACCATGATGCCATCCACTGTGATGTGACTGGTCAAGGGGAATCACCAGAGGCTTAGTCAATGGTGGGGTCTGACTTTGGAATTTCAGCCTCCAAAACTGAGCTAAATTAATCTCTTTTCTTCATAAAGTATTCAACCTCAGGTGTTTCATTATAGCAATGGAAAATGGACTAGCACATAAATGGCCCTGTACTCTGGCTAGAGAAAATGAGAATATCAATCATCCCTCTGGAAGCTCTGGAGTTCTCTGGCTTGATGAGCTTCGGCTGTTAGACTGGCCTTCAGAGTCTACTCTATGCACACACGACTCAGCCATAGTCCAGCAGACTACCATTCATAATCGGGAGATCTTCTCTCCATGAGACGCCCTCCTCTTCTAGTACTGTATCCTGCAATTCCTGCTCCCTCAGCCTCCAGAAAGTTAGTCTCTGTCCCCTTAACTTAGCCAGTACATCCTGCTCTGCTTGGATCCCCAACCTGTGCCCCTGACCACAGGCTGCCTCAGATAGGAAGCCGGATAAGCATGGAGCCTGGGCTGGCTGGGGTCTAAGCTGCACTGCCTGCTGTCCCATGTCTGAAAAAGGCTGCTTCTATAATTTACCCAGTTGACAGTGGCTCATGCCAGGTTCCTTCACCTTACTCGTGATCAGAGTAGAAACTCTTAAGGTAATTTACAAATAAATGTCCTGCAACAATAGATGGCAACAGCTTGTTGGTTTAGAACCAGTTGAGATGATTAAAAGCTCCCATGTGCTCAAGTGTCCTGGAGAAACAGCTGATCCCAGGAATAAGGCAAGAGAGACACAGGACAAGCCCGGAGCTCCCAGCAACAACACCAACTTCCTAAGCATTTCAGCCAAGGGAGTAATTTTAGAAACCCAACTGCAAAAATGTGCATTGGTAGTTCTCAAACAGTAGAATCCTACTCTTAAAAAAATAAAAAAAGAAAGAAAGAAAGAAAAGAAAAGAAAAAGAAACCACTTATAAGGGGGCCAAACTTTGAAACATTTAAAGAGGTTCTACTTTCATGGAGGGGCAGGCGGGCCAAGAGTTGAAGCAGCAAGGGACCCTGGACCACACCAAGGGCCTATCCACAGGGAACCACAGGACCCAAGGACCCAGGTAGGCCCTAGAGAGACAGGTTGGTCTGCTGGGACTCTGGCCTTCTGACACAGCACTTGGCCACTTGCCCCTCATCCCATAACTGTCTGGACGTATTCTGAGAACAAAGAGCTTTCCATGTCCAAGGCCAAGAGAAAGACCTAGAGCCAACAGAAAATCAAGAAAGCATCTCAGAGTGTGATTCTAGCAGTGAAGGTATACTCTCATCCAAAGCGAGGTGCATGAAATCTTGATTGCATAGTAGAAAATCATGGGTTTTGGGAGAAGCTGCTGTGGCACCTAGGCTTCTCGGGGCTCTCTGAGGAACAGAGCTGAGTGGTTGCAGGAGGTGAGGTGGAGTAAGTACCCAGCTCACCACCCACTCTTTCTAGAATCTGCCCCACAAGCTTGTTCCCTGCAGGTTGACAGTCCTCTCACAGTAGGACACAGGGGACATCATCTGTCTGCACTTCTGTGAGCTACATGCAGTCCTGGTTGCCATAACTCTCAAAGAATTAGAGGAAGTGCCCAGTACACTCCCAGTAGCCATGCAGAGGAGCACAGCTGTCCAGAATGCTGGCACTGTGTCGCCGTCTGGACTGCCCCCTGCTCCAGGGCTGAGGGCAGATGGCGTGTGCAGGGCTTGAGCAGCGTCAACTCTGAGCACTGTAAATCCCGTCTCAAGCTGGGAAAGGCTGAAAGATAGACTGCCACTCTTGACTTTCTCTAGGAAACAGCCTATGGTAAAAACAGTGTGCCACAGCATGCATCCAGGATCTCACAGCCACATACACCAAACTGGGCCAGGACCAGGGCACCAAGACTGTCTAGGGGTAGGTGCACCCCTAAGCCTGTCTCAGTTTCTAGATTCCACAGAACATGCCACAGGTGAAGGTCAGGTCAATGTCCTGGGTGAGTCTGAAGAAAGGAGGGTAATTTATGGGTTTGTGCTACCTCTTGCCAACACCGTCTTCCTGGGATGAGGATGAGGCAGGATGTCGTGGGCAGTCTGAATTTCCTGATGGTGAGTAAGTGGCACAGGGTGCAGAAAACTGAACTAGGAGAGCCTACATCCTGTCTGCCTCTCACTGCATCATGGCCTATGTAAACTCTTGATCCCTGGGCCCTGGTCTCTTTCTTGGTAAATGGGGGCCACTAGCACTTGACTGGCTCACTGCTCCCAAATGTGATAAGGATTAAACTTCAGATGTACTTGTGTCCCACTGAAGTGGGAAGAGTCATCAGTACCCTGCAAGGGCCTTCCTGCTGCCCGTTTGGGTCCTTAGAGAAAATGCACGCATATTCTTCATGAGGTATCTATCTAGCAGGAATGGAAACACCCTGGGGTGAATTTCTCTGACCTCTGTGCTGTTTTCCAGCATGGATTAAAATTCCTCATTCAAATGGTTTGATGTCTCAGCAGGAAACAGAATCAAGCAAGCAACCCCACAGGCCTTTCTGAATAAGGTGCTATCTCCCCAGTTAGTGCTCAAAGAATAGAAAAGCTAAGCCAGGCTCAGTGGCAAAGGCCTGTAATCCCAGTGACTCAGGAGGCTGAAGCAGGAGGATTGCAAGTTCAAGGCCAACCTGGTCCACTTAGCGAGATCCTGTCTTAAAATATAATCAAAAGCTCTAGGGACATAGTTCAGTGGTAGAGAGCTTGCTGAGCATGCAGGGGGCCCTGGGCTGTGTCCCCACACTGCACAACAGAACAAAAAGAATAGCAAAGCAATCTTGGGAGGATTCACCTCGGTCAAATGACTCCCCACACCTGGGGTTCTGTTTGTGTGTTTTACAGTACTGGAGACTGAACCTAGGGGCACTCTGCTGCTGAACTACATCCCCAGCCCTTTTTTTAAAAATTTTATTTAGAGACAGGGTGTCTCTAAATAAATTATCTTAATAATTATCTCTTAATAAATTTCCTAGGCAAGTCTTGAATTTGTGATCCCCCCATCTCAGCCTCTCACAGGCATGGCCACTGTGCCTGGGGCACACCTGGGTTCCTAATGAGGTCACTATCTCTGAAAGACAGCGTCTGGGAAGGTTGGGAGGGCTGGGAGATGAATAACTACTGAGGGTGTTTTGGAGAGGCACCCAGCTCCATAAATAACCCCACACGCCCCCACCTTATGAATGACCCCAAAGGCTTAGGTTCACCCAAAAGCCCAGCACTACATAGGCCCAAGCACTGCAAGAGAGGAGAACCAGGAGGGGGCCCCGGCAACACTGAAAGTGGGCTTGCTCGGACTGTGCCACTAAGTCTTGCCCAAGGGATATCCATTGTCACAGGAAGGAGCAGGACCCTGGTCACCACGAAGTGTCCAGACTATTCCACACCTGTTCCCTGTCCAGGCTCCTATGAGGGCTTCTGAAGTGAGAAACTATCTTATTTGACTGGCGTTTGTTCTCTATGCATTAGCCAGTATTAGCTGCTCCCAAATTTAACTAACTGCCATCTGACCTTATTGGATTCCCTGTTAAGTTCCCTCCATTCACACTATCCTATCCCAGATGAACAGAAACCGAAAAACCCACAAGAACATCAACTCCACAAGGCAAGAAGGAGGCGGACATGGCACACTGGCCTGTCCTCCCTGTGAGGCCACTCACACTACTTCCCTGAGCTCTATCCGCCAGTAAATGGAGGCCAGAGCCAGCCCCAGATACAAAGGAGGGCTCCCTAGACAGCACACGCAGACCACCATGTGCAGACAGCACCAGGAAGCCTCGTCTAATGTCAGACTTAAAAATGACAGCAGCTCTTCAGACTTTCCAGAAACTTCCACAGCTCCAACCCACCCCTCTCCATGCAAATGTCAAGTAGGAGCCCTGGGACTGAAATGCCTGCCCTCTGGGCCCTGTCCCTGCACTAGTTAGTTGGGTGACTGTGCCAGTACTTTAATGGAGAGGCTGGGCTTCAAGCAAGATGGCTACGTCACAATTCAGCTGCCCATTCTTCCCCTCAAGCATGAGCTCAGAGCCAGGCCCTTGACCACCTGCAGCAAACCCACTAAAACCTGCAAAGTGGCAGCCTCAGGACTACAAGGAGCCAAAAGCCTCTTACAACTCCAGCAAGTGGCCAAGCCCTGAGCCCTGAGCCATGGGTTTGCAAGAGCAGGGAGTGGCTATTTTTAAGTGGCATGCCTCAGCTATTTCGAGGTTTAGGTTTTATTTTATTTATTTAATTCAAGAGGAAGCTGCACTTTCTCATGACTTGTTTCTTTCAAAATGGTGTCGTGGGCATTCTTAATGTTGAAATCATCTTGACTTTGCAGCTGGTCAAAAGATGGAGAGCCAATCAGCTCTTTATTTTATCATGCCATTCAAATTTTTAAAAGTTAACATATTAAGAGTCTGAATTTCTACAGTTCTTCACCAGAGGATTAGTATTTTTCCATAAAAATTTTAAGACGGTCCTCTGTTTTAAAATATGCATACATTTCCCAAGATATCTGCAAGATTTTAAGTCAGCATCATACGGAACACCTTGAAGTGCATTTTCAACAGGCTCTATAGAGAAGAGAAAGCTCACGGGGCAGCAAGTGGACGGGCCCACATTCACGGAGGTACATGGCACTGTCAGGGTCCCACCCGCAAGGGTGCCTGCCTCTCCAAGCCTGTGGCAGCACTGTGGGAGGAGGATGCGCTGGCTCCCACTTATCCTCAACCACAGCCAACTTGTTGTTCAGTGCATAAAAGGTCACTCAGTGTTCAAGCTCACAGCTCCAAAAAAACATCAAAAGATAAAAAGACACCAAGAAGGAAGCATAAATAAGATCACTTAAAATGTAATTTATGAGCCAGGGCAGCTCAGGCCTGTGATACCCAAGAGCCTTGGACAGTGCCTGGCACTGGTCTCTGCTCTGGAGCTGCATGTCCAATCTTCTTCCAAAACTGAGGACAAACTCCAACAACAGGAGGTGGGAAGTCAGAGATGGCAGCCAGACACACAGTCATTCGGTCATTAGGACTTTGGGAGCGGGAGTGATGGTAGGGAAGACCTGATCAGCCATCCATGCCCCAGACAGCTCCCAAGCAGCAGAGGAGAGAAGGGTGGTCAATGATTAGAGCAGAAAGCCACCTGTTTTACCGATTTCTTACCAAATACCTGCTACTTCTTGTGTTTAAATTTCTTTCCATAAATGTCTTGGTGAAGTCATAAATTCTCTATGTATTATTCACATGCTTACTATGTTAACTTGTGAAATTCAGTGTTTAGTTTTAAAGCCAGTAAGCTGCTAAAAGAAGAAAGAATACTGTTGCTTGTTTCAACAAATGATCATAATATCTATTATAATCCCTTCAAACTAAAAAAAAAAAGAGAGAGAGAGAAGGAAAAAAGGGTGTCACTGGGTGAAGAAAACCAGTCACACTGGAAACTTCCATAAAACCATGCTTAGTGGGACTGTGCTCATTGTTAAAGTGTGGGGGGAAAAGGCCAGCAAAAAAAGAGTTAATGCTGGCCTTCAAGGGAGCGGCCAGAGCCCAGTGAGCAGCCCTGGGAAGCCTATAAAGCCGGCCCAGTGCCAAGGGGACCAGACTGCGCCTCAGACAGCCACAGGAGCTGGTTCAAGCGCTTCCTGGGGAACCTTCCCGCCAGGCCTCCCTGGAGGGGTCTTCTCTTTTTCTCTCCCACTGATTCCTTGCAAGTCCAGGATCCCACCACTGCAGGCAAGTGCCAAGTGCACCTCCAGCAAACCCCCGAGGGATGCAAGAGAACCCAGGCAGCTCAGGTAAGACTTGCACCCCGCCTGTGGGTTTTGGGGTCTGGGTGGGTACTGCACACTAGCTGCTAGGGTCAAACGAGGTCACAGTCCCGGGAGGGAAACCCTAGTCCTGTGAGGGGACAGCTGGAGGCATGTCCATACCACTGTACCTTCCAAGGAGCAGCGCCAGCTTCCACCCTCCAGAGGAGACACCTGGGCGTGACCACATGCAGCGAGCCCTGGGTCCAAGCCAGATGTGCCTTGTTTTGAGGCTCTCCTGGTAACTTGGTACTGTGGTCACTACTGTCAACGCAGAAAGTCATGGTGGGCCAATGCCCCCATGTAAAGATAAGGGTAACAAAGCTGATGAAGTGTAGTATCGTTTTCCCAGATCTGGACAAGCAGGAGAAACTTGAAACAAAACGATACGGAACTATTTAACACCCACTTTTAGATTTTCAGTTCATAGCCAACTTTAATAAGGATGCTGTAAATTTCACAGCAAGCTCCCATATCTTCTCTGTAGACCATTATACAATAGCAGTATTGGTCAAGGATGAAAGACTCAATTTACATGGAAAAGAAACAAATGGCTTATTTTAACCTGTTCCCTAGAGTTTATTCAGTAGTGTAGGGAAGAGAAGGCACCTGTGTCAAGGGTCTGCTCACCTTTAAACTGCCCCCTCCAACTGCAGTCTGATACCTGCCAGAATTTCCACATTCAAAGAACAGAACTAGTGCCCTGGGCATTTTTTAAAAAGAAATTAAATCCAGAGGCTTCCAATATTACAGATGGAATCTCAGAACAGTGACATTTACACTGCTCAAATTGGTACTACTTATTAAAGATGAATAAAGAATGTAAAATAACCAATACAAACAAATCCATCAACCCCCACTCGGCAAAGGTTATTGAACACCCTCAGAATCATACCTGCGCCAAGGCAGAGATCTGTTCTTCCTTATTTTCCTTTTTTCTTAGCAGTATTTTCACGAGATAGGTCAGTAAATCTCTAGTCTGGTCTTGCAACACTTCAAAATGATGCCCAATGACCTCAAAGAATGAAACGAAATTCCAAAAGAAAAACAACCCAAACCATCTTCCTGAGGCAGGTCAGTTGACTCCAGGCTTCTCGCCCTCAGACACTGACGCTCAGGCCGGAAATCTTTTGCTGGGGAGGGGGCTGTCCTGTGCACTGTTGGATGCTCAGCAGTATCCCTGGCCTCCAACGGCTAGATGCTCCCCTGCCCCAGCTGGGACACCCCCACATTTCCAGGCGTCTCCAGACGTTGCCAATGTGCCAGCTGAAAACCCTGGTTGCTCCAGAGAACTTCAGGGGCACAAGGAGTCAAGTAAGCCACAGGAAACCCTGTGGCACCTCCACGTCCCCATCTTTACCCAGTTTCTATGCTAAAACAGCATTACAAAAATAAACTGGGCTTTACATAATTGGTTAAATAACATTTTACAAATAACTGAATAACATTTTCATCCTTCCTCCTTCCCTCCCTCCCTCCCTGGGGACAGGGTGTCCTGTGTCGCAGTCTGGTCTCAAACTCCTGGGCTCAAGCGATTCTTCTTCCTCAGTCTGAGTAGCTGGGACTACACCCAGCTAACATTATTTCTTAAACAATGACCATTTTTATTCCTTATTCTCTTTCATTCTATATTACAGAAAATAGTTTCATTTCTGGCACTCAAACTTAGTAGTAGCATTACCAAAAAATGCTGGATTTCTTTTGCCTATTTTATTGCAAGACAAAAGACTTTGTTCAGATTCCACTAGGTTTTCTGGGTCCATTACCTTTCAGGGGGGGAAAAAAAAAAAGCTGGGTTTTTCCCTTCCCATGTTATTTCTCTTTCCGACAGCTGCTGAAATAAATTTTATTTCCTGTTCCAACAAATGGTAGTTTTCCTAAGATTCCCATACTTAATACCCACACTACTTCATGAGCCTGCTATCTGCCTGTGACCCACTCATTGCATCTGGGGATGACTCATGGCCCGTCTCCAATTTAAACCAGGCAAGCATGGGAACCCCTGGGGAAGAGACAGGACGTTTTCCACATTTATTTCTTCTCCTTCAGCTCAGGGACAACCATCTCCCCAAGACAACAAAACCTAGAGTTCTGGCCTCTCTCTACTGCTCTGTGACCTACGACAGCTCGGCCCTGTCCTGTCCTGTCTGCCTCTCCTTGGTGTCCAGATGGTAAGTGTGTACGGCGTCTTCCAGCCATGAGCCAGCTCCGCCGACCAGAGTGCCAAGCGCCCCACTAGCCACGAGCCAGCTTCTGCTGCAGACCAACTGCACCTGTGCATTCAACTTTCTACAGCTGTCAAACCCAAATGTCCGGCTCTCTGCAGAGAGAATCACCTCTCTCTCTAAAGATGGAGCCACCGCTGCAAACTGATTTCTGTGACCCTTCTGACAAATGCTGAAGACAGCACAGTGGCAACATGGATGTGACCTCTCCAGCCCACACCTTTGGCATGGAGATTTACCCAGGTACCACACAGTTGGCAGACTCCAACAGCACCTCCCCAGAACTCAACCTGTCTCTTCCACTACAAGGCACTGCCCTGGTGAACCAGACGGGGGACCTCTCTGAGCACCAGCAGTATGTCATTGGCCTCTTTCTCTCCTGTCTTTACACTATCTTCCTCTTTCCCATTGGTTTTGTGGGGAACATTCTGATCCTGGTGGTGAACATCAGTTTCCGTGAGAAGATGACGATCCCCGACCTGTACTTCATCAACCTGGCGGCCGCAGACCTCATCCTGGTGGCCGACTCCCTGATCGAGGTATTCAACCTGGACGAGCAGTACTATGACATTGCCGTGCTCTGCACCTTCATGTCTCTCTTCCTGCAGATCAACATGTACAGCAGTGTCTTCTTCCTCACCTGGATGAGCTTTGACAGGTACATCGCACTGGCAAAAGCCATGCGCTCCAGTCTCTTCCGAACAAAGCACCACGCCAGGCTGAGCTGCGGTCTCATCTGGATGGCCTCCGTCTCGGCCACCCTGGTGCCCTTCACAGCCGTCCACCTGCAGCACACAGAGGAGGTCTGCTTCTGCTTTGCAGACGTCAGGGAGGTGCAGTGGCTGGAGGTCACTCTGGGGTTCATCATTCCCTTCGCCATCATTGGGCTCTGCTACTCCCTCATCATCCGCGTCCTTGTCAAAGCCCACAAGCACCGAGGCCTGCGCCCCCGGAGGCAGAAAGCGCTCCGCATGATCTTCGCTGTGGTCCTGGTCTTCTTCATCTGCTGGCTGCCGGAAAACGTCTTCATCAGCGTCCACCTCCTGCAGCGCACCCAGCCGGGGGCTGCTCCCTGCAAACAGTCCTTCCGCCATGCCTACCCCCTGACCGGCCACATCGTCAACCTCGCAGCTTTCTCCAACAGCTGTCTGAACCCCCTCATCTACAGTTTCCTTGGGGAGACCTTCAGGGACAAACTGAGGCTGTACGTGGAGCAGAAGACAAACCTGCCAGCTCTGAACCGCTTCTGCCACGCTGCCTTGAAGGCAGTCATTCCGGACAGCACCGAGCAGTCAGATGTCAAGTTCAGCAGTGCTGTGTGACAGGCCTCCCCAGCAGGGACCCAGCTATGGCGCTAGTCACAGGGACTGCACACACCCAGGGCAAGGTGGGCCGGAGGCACAGGTCAAGTCACGCTCCCAAACTTCAGTGCCTCACGAGGGTCGCCCCTTCTGGGTTGCTGGGGAACCTCGCTCCAGCCCTTCCTGATTTCATCCTGCTCACAGACTTGCACCCATCCCAGTGCTCACGACCGCAGGTCATGTGACTCTTACCTCCAAGGGCACCAGAACCAGCTTGTCACTCAGCTTTCTCTACCGTACTATTTCCCCAGTGGAAAATGATTCTGCCATTGACCAAAAGCCAAAAGGAGGGAGGCCTTCTGGGTGAAGCATCTTAGTTACAGATAAATACGCAGCATACCTGAAACCTGGGGGGGAAAGGAAGTCTGGAAACAGAATCTGCTCAACAGACCTAAACTGGATCTGATGTCTGAGATGTGCAACTCACTATGCACATGCAAACTAGTCCACCCTGAGTCGAAGGGGAAAGGAAAAAAGTGTCCTGCACACACCTGAGCATCCTTCCTCTCTAGGAATGCTGCACTCCTGCCCGCCCCCGGCTCCCGCTCCTAATACCCGAGAGAGATGCATGGAGCTAGAAAGGGTCTCATTTAATGAAATACCTGCTCGGAGATGTGTTTAGACGTGCATTTGTTTACAACAGACTTGGCAATTATGTGAATGTGGGATGAGACCACGAAAACTGCATGCAGTTAATGGGATACACGGAGAAATACTCTGGCGTGTGTGGTTGAAAAATCTGCCTCTACAAAATAATAGTGGGAACAATGATGATGGCAACTTTAGCAGTTCCCAATAAAATATATTTAAAAACAAATCTAACTATTGCTGATAATGTTCAGTGTATGTCAATAAAATGTTATGTGTTGATTCTCTGAAATGCTCTAAGCAGTTCCCTAAGTAGTGTGAGACGGGGCTGGGGGAGGGGCTCTCAGAAAGAGCCACAGCCCCACAAAGAAAAGCAAGCCCACAGTTTTGCAAACTCAGGTCCCACCTGAAGAACTCTCCCGCGAGGCCAACGTCCAGACCCCTGCCAGCTGGACACCTCCTGTGCCTTCTCGGGATGTCCAGATGCTGCAGTCTGACATGCACGCTGCATCGTCTCCGGGCACCAAGTGCATCTTATTACCAACACAGAAGGCAGAGCTCAGCCTTGTCAAGGCATCTGCATAAGCAGACTTATCCAATGTCGAGAAGGCTCTCGGCTGTGAGATGCACCCTGGGTTGGCAGGCACTCAGAGCACTCGCGGGGCCAACTGGGAGGACTCCCTGTCCTGTTCTGTCACCAGATAAAGCTGTGCCAGGTTCTCCTCCATTCTCTGCCCACATCCAGAGGCCCCTCAGGAGCTCAGGCCTCCCAAAGAACACAAGGTAATATGGTTAACAAAGAAAAAGATCACTTTTTCTCAATAATTTGCATGTTATTTTCCATTTAAACTATGGTACTACTTTTTATTTCTGATAATATATATTTAAGGTAAAAGATGACCCAGTTAAAAAAAAATCACACAGAGCACCCAAGAGAACTCCCCTTGGCACCCTGTGGGACACAATCTGTGCATGGATGGGTGTGGCAGGCCTGGCTCCAACAGCCTGCAGGGCCTGGATTCTCTGTGCTCGTCACCAGGGAGCAACACTCCTCCAAAGAGGAGACTATTTGTCCCAGACTGAGACCCCAAGCAGTGGCATCTCCAGCACTCCAAATCCCACATGAGCAGGACACAGCAGACCTCTTCCAGGACTGTCCCCACAAATCAAGGGGTCTAGCAATAGGCAGACAACCTCTACAGGAGGCCAAGCCATCCCTCGAGCTGGCACCTGCAGAGGGTGCAAACATCACAAGTGAGGTCCCTGTGCTAGAGGAACAAGGTCCTGAGACGCTTTTCATACCACATGCTTTGAGCCCACATGGTGCTCCTCCAGGGCACACAGGGCACCACTAACAGTGGGGCCCAAGAACCAGCACTGCAAACTCTGACAGGATGTTGCTTTTATAAGGCGAGTGTGTGATCTGAGTTCCCCAGCTCCACTCAGTGTTGGTAACAATCCAAACCCAATCCAGAATGCAAGGAGACAGAGCTGGTGCCTACCACTGAGCAAGGCACCCACAGCCATTCACCCCTCATCCCAGCTTGAAAATTGGTGCACAGAAGCCCCAAACACAGACACAGAGACCCAACACTCACTCTTAGCTCTGATGGATGGGGTGGGAAGACTCAAGGAATAAGAGTGAGAATCTATGACCCTCAAATCCTTAGACAGGAAATGGTGCAGCCAGGAACCGAACCTCGGTCTCTCCAAAGCCATGATTCTTTCTCTGCAGCAAGCGGCAACCCTGATGCTAAAAGCAAAAGTACTCAGTGTGGCAACTGCAGAGCCGGATAGCCCTGGGCACCCTGGCGTCACCTAAGGCTGAGCCCTCTCCTTTGCAGCTACGTCTCCAGCAAGTTCAGGGAAGGCAGGAGGGAGACCTCCCGGGGGGACTCTAAATGCAGCTGCATCTGCCCAAAGTCCCAAAATATCCACAGTGGGAGGGGATCCATCCTTCCAAGGCACCCGTCCCTGAGGCCAGAACTCTAGAGCGCTTCTCTGGGCTACAGCAGAAGCCACCTGCAGACTGGCCATGCAGAACAGGTCCACCCCTTCCTGCACGCAGCTGTCCCCACTCACTCCTACGCAGCCTTCTGCCTGAGGCTCCTGATGACTAGGTCTCCTCAAGAAGGTCTGCCATGGGCAAGGGCCACATGAGGCTACAGCGCAGCTCCTTCGCCAACACTCGAGGCACATTTCCCCAGCTGAGAAACTGGCAGAACTGCTGAGAGTCAGTGGGATGGATAGCTACAAGGGTGAGCACAAGGCAGAGGGCTTCCCTAATGAAATGGGACCCTCCAGAGCCAGAGGCTGGGCCTGGTGCCCCTGAAGTCTCCTCTGCGTCTGTGCGATGGGCAGAGCGGAGGTTGGAAGCCCCGCAGGGCTCTGCGCACCCCACCCAGCCCTTCTCAAGGCATCTGTCTGAGAGCTGAGGCTAACTTGATTATTTGGGGCAGGAACACCACAAGATAAAATCAAGGCGTTTTAATTGCTTTGTTGCTTCCTGGTAACCCAACTCTCCCGCACAATAATGTAGTTTAAACCCTGCAACGGGCTGGAGAGTCCATAGCTGTAGGCACGTAAAAAACACCTGATGAGCACTGACCAGGAGTCCATCACTTTCTTTGTGTGCAACAATTAACTCTTGACCATGACCTTGTCCTTCCCGGCTCCCAGGCCTGGTGAGGAATGGTGGCATGCCATCTATTACACCTCCCTGGCACACACACCTTCAGTCCTGGAGGAAGGGTGGGGAGGAGGGCCGAGGGAGCCTCTCAATAGGCTCTTCTCTGCAGCGTGGCACACAGCGCGGAGCCGCTCGTCTGTACTGTGAGTGAGCACAAGGGTAAATGTGCTGATGCCCCTGAAGACAGAGTTCTCGCAGGACAAGGGAGGCAGAAGCACACAGGAAGCAGAGGGGCACTCAAGAACCCCATGGGAATGCAGCAAAGCAGGTGGATCTCCATTTGTGAGACTCTCCGGTGTGAGAATGTCAAAATCATACCCAGAGGACACAGGAGATGGCCCAAAGGATTCCCACTGGCCAAATCCGGAAAAATCTAGGCTAGGAGGATTAAGAAGAGTTAATAAAAGTTGAGCACAGTGGTGCAGGCCTATAATCCCAGCGACTTGGGAGGCTGAGACAGAAGGGTTGTGAGTTCAAAGCCAGCCTCAGCAACTTAGCAAGGCCCTGAGCAACTCAGCAAGACCTTGTCTCTAAAAGAAATATAAAAAAGGGTTGTGGCTGTGGCTCAGTGGTGAAGCATCCCTAGGTTCAATCTCCAGTACCTCCAAAAAAGTTAATAATAATTAGAAACTATTAAAAAGAATCCTGAGCCCATTCTAATAATAAACAGGCAACAAACATAATTTAAATAAGCAACTAATGAAAAGATAATAATAAATAGAGTGTGTGAAAGATGTGGGGATTTTTGGTTATGGAAAAAAAATGGCCTATAACTGAGGGACTGCTGGGGGGACAGGAGCAGGGAGGGGGGACGGACTTGTCCCTTTGCAGCTTTTACTGTGAGACTGGAACAGGCCAAGAACCCCCAAAGGAGGCACCCCAGGAGCAGTGGGGTATTTGCAGAGCTCCCACAGACTGCTCGTTAAAGCAAGGGAAAGTCACTACACAGCAGAGATGGGACAGCCCTTCACTGAGTGGTAACATGAACATCACCAAGAGGAAAAAACCCAGCTGTGATACCCTGAGAAGGACAAAACGTCTCTAATGTCCTAATCGAAGGGTACATACTGAGTCTAATCAGAAGCAAATACCAGAAAAACCCAAAATGATGAAAGGAAGCCAATTTACAAAAAAAAATGAGAATGTCATAGAGATAAATAAGCGTGGAGGGGCTGGGACTGTGGCTCTGTGGTAGAACGCTCGCCTGGCATGCGCAGGGCCCTGGGTTCGATCCTCAGCACCACATAAAAATAAATGAATGGAATAAAGGTAGGTGTCCAACTACAAAAATAAATATTAAAAAAAAGAGATAAGCGTGGAATAATTCTTCTAAAGTCAGGAGAAAAGAGGGGGAACAATTACATGCGATGAAGACCCTAGATGAGATGAGCCACCACAAGGAGGGAAAAGCATTCTGGGGATATCACGGGGTCAGGGGACAAAACAACGCGGGCAAACCTGGAAAACCTACTGCGAAAGACGCCAGACACAGAAGGCCATATCTGTGTGATTCCTCTTATACAAAGTATCCAGAGTGGGCAAATCCAGGGGCAGGAAGGGGCTGCCAGGGCCACAGAGGGGAAAGGAGATTGCGAGGGGGCACAGAGCTGCCCCTGGGGACGGAGAAGGTGCTCCAACATGGCTGTGGAGGTGGATGTCCATTTTAGCTGTGACCCTTTAGAGGGTGAGTTCATGGCATGAAGGTACGTCCCAACAAGTCAATGTTCCCTAATAGCTTCTCATTCATACCCCACACAGGGAGATGCCCAGCACCCTTCTGGAGTCCCAGGAACTGCTGCTAGCATTTACTGTAAAATTCCTAGTTTTCTCTCCTCACTTACTGCTGGTGATTCAAGCTTTATGTTCTTTTCCACAGTGGCAAGCTAATTATCTGGGGTCTATTTTGATATGATTTTAAATTAAAAATAGAGAAAAAGAACTTTGGTAAAATTTAAAGCTGAATGTAGTCAATCATTCTCCAGGATCTCAGACAATGGCTATGGCCAGTTCTCCCTCCTGCTGGGCACAGTCCTTGGAGAACTAGGGGACCTGCACAGGCTGGCCCCGCGGCCCCCATAGGTGCACACTTCAGGAGTGACCAAGGACAGAAGGGAGTCAACAATATCATTTCAATTACTTAGACGCTTTCACCAGTGATGTGCTCAGAAATCTAAAAACAAGGCTTATCACTGAACCATCCCACAGCACTGCCACCCTGTAGATCACAGTTGTGACCGGCATCCCTGGGAACAGCAGAGACCCAAGGCGAACAGACACATGGACACACACAAGTGCTTGCTCCCGGGTCAGATCACAGAAGAAGCTGGGACCTTGGGGGTTTCCAGCTCCTCTTCCTGCAAATGATCAACAGAGGCTTGGGGAAGTTCCACCTGTTACAGATTTAATGCGCTTTGCCTTCCGGACTATTGGGAGGGTGGGGAGCCAGTGAGTCCGCCTTGCACGGGAACTAAGGGAGGGGAGAGAGAGGGAGGGAGAGGGTCATCATGAATAGCCATTACGTCCCAGGATGCTCACTCTCC